GCAAAACGAATAACCTGTGGGCCATTCATTTTGAGCAACACGATAAAAAAAACTAACAAGAAGCACAAGGACGAGGCCTTTGTGAGCACTTCAGCTGCACATATTTTATCGAATTTACAGAAGCAGTGGGAGTATGGATGCCCTCCATGTCGGGTACTGAGAGTTTTCAGTTCCAAATCGTCCATAAATCCAAATGGTCAGACATAAAGAACAAGGAGTCAATTTAACACTGAAACCTGAGCGCAACTTTATGTTCTTATGCATCAAGGCACCATGAGGCTCATTTGAAAGAAAAGAAATCAATTCAAAGCTTTTATTTGAATAGGGAAGAGTTTAAAATAAAGGGAAGAAGGAGGCAGATAAAAACATGCCCCCTTCATTGAGACCCACTAAGAGCCGGGTCTCAATGCTGCCCTCTGTTGGTCACATAGAGTGTTGTAAAAACACTATGTGAACAACGCATGTTAAAGTTCAAAAAGAGGGTAACTACACAGAGAGCAATCTGAAAATACATACAAAAAGTTGTTTTTCAATAATTAGTGTAACAGTGCCAAGTGGTAAAAGGTGAAACTGAAGTGGAAAATATTTAATCTTCTGTTTTATTTTTCAGTTATTTTCTTCCTCTTTAAATGTATAGCTGCAACTTATTTAAGACGAAAAAAAATAATTAAAAGGATTAACCGCAGATTGATTTCCTTTTGTTTACAGTTTTAGGAAGAGTGGCATACTGCCAACTTTTGGCATTTTATTTTTACTAGTTGCTGCATTCCAAAAGGACAAAGTCCTTTTTTGTGAAGTATTTTAGAAACAAATAAATAATAAAAATCAGTTCCCCAACATGCAGCAGTTCCCATAACATTCATTCTTTTCTTTCTTTTTTTTTAATGAAAAATAAAGCTTTTGTTGACACTAAACATGCAAGGGTTAAGACATGCTAATAGATCCTTTTTTTTTGCATTGGGATGATAGAAGTTTATACTGTGAGTACACTTGCTTTTTCTGTATCTGCTCTTTCACGAGAGGAACAGGCACATTGGAAAGTATATCTATTTTTATTACCTTGTGGATTTTTTTTGTTTAGTTTCAAGCGAGAGAAGTGACCACTGTTCTGGCTGTTTGTGTCAGGTAAGATAACATTACAAAATAACATTTTAATATTGTACATTTTAACTAATGTATTAATGAAATAAGACAAGTCTGATAAAAATTGTATTACAATTCATGTTGTGTAACATTTTTACCTATTTTAGTCTACATTTTTCTTTCTCGTTTTGTTTGAGTAATGCTATAAAAAAACAAAATTCTGCTGTAAAAGTTGAAAATGAACCCTGTGACAATTTTTTTAGCTATTGCTGAAATTCTTTATGTTTACTTTTGTTAATTTAAGCAGTTTATTTAACCCAGTTTGTTATATTATTTACTGACTGTTATTGTTATGAAGCACTTTGCCAGCTATTTTGATTTTAAATCTGCAATACCACAAAAGAATTCAAGTCGTTCTAAACTCTTATTTCAGTAACACAAAAGTGAAATCTAACCACACACTGCTCTGAAAAGTCAAAAAACTACTTCACAGTTGTCTTTTTTTTTCATTTAACATGTATATATTTGAGTATATTTAATTTGTGTTACTCTTAAAACTCTTGACATTTCTCCCTAAATCCAAAAAAAAATATTTGTCATTTTAAGATTTCAGATATTTTTTTACATTGTTTTCCTTACTTATAACTCCAGTTGTGATGCAAAGTGTTCTCAGATTCTCAAGTAGGTCATATGTTTTTATATACCATAAAAAATAGTTGCTATTATGAGACAAAATAAAATAGAACATCAATTCAAGTATCACAAACTGTGATGCAAGAAACATTTTATACATTTTCAATTAAAGGCAAAAACACTGATCAAGGTTTTGAGTTTTTTTTTGCCAAAAGTGTTAAAAATAAGCAACTGCATGAAAGTGTGCCAAGTGTCTTCATAATGCATACAAATTGTGTTCTTTTGTACTAATATGACTGCAACTATGATGGAACAAAATGTGAAAACCAACCAATATTTAAACAAAAATAGTTTTGTTCCATTAAACTAATGAATAAACAGCACATTTTTAAAGAATATATGTGCAATCTGTAGCTCCCACTTAATAAGTTACAGAGACTCTACAAAATTACTAAATATGTGGTGAATAAACAGTTTTAAATGCAGACGTTATGAAAACAGCATTTAGCAGAAAAGCCTCATGTTTCAGTGACAATATAAAACATTTTGGAAATACCAAGCAATTTTCCAGAAAATGGTCTCATGTTTTAAATTTTTTTTTTTTTATCATTTTTTTAAAATATTTTCTCACAAATATTCAAGGATTCCGGTTGTTGTTGATTATTTTCAGACCTTTGTATTCATTCAGCCATTCATTAAAAAGTTCACGCAACCATTGATGTAAAACAAATTAACGACGTAAACTGGCATTCTGTGTTAGCATTTCATTAAGTGGGTCAAACATGTTTGAATTACTTTGACAAAATGACGCTCCTTCCCTTTTACTAAAAAAATTTTTTTTTAAAAAAATAAACTCAGTTTGTTTTTTTTAAAAAGCATGCAAAGCTAGTTCGGCAAACACAAACTTTCCATTGCCTGGTGAATCCTTCCCCACGCAGGCTGCGGTTGATCCGGTCTGGCATGCGGATGTTCTCCTCTTAGCATGTCCCAGTTCTGGTCCCAGAAATGAATCCCGACGCTTAATTGACGTTAAAAGGCATTCTGTGTAGCCCCAGGTGATTTATTGAGGGGGGTTTAAACTATCGCATTAAGGCCGGGGCGGCGGTGTTCCTGGTTAATGGAGGTCAGAGCAGTGACGGAGGGAGGTGTCCTCCGTTGAACCCGCGGTGTTATTGTCGTCCAAGTAGACCTGCAGATGGCGCGCACAGTCAAGACAGGGCCCCGGGTGCTCACCACAGCGTGTGTACTCACGTAAGAATATCCCGTGCCGGTGGTGGGAGATGGCGATGGTCTTAAGAGACACCTCTGTCTCCTCATGTTCAGCTGGAGGGCTGTGCAAAGCAGAGTTCAAGAGGCCAGCTTTTCTTGGAGGGAGTTCAGGTCCCGAATGCTGACACTCGATGAAGCCTTAACCTTAGTTGACCTCTTTGTCAGTTAAACCAAAACAAAACCAAAAAACAAGAGGTACATCCACCAGTGGTTACTACAAAACAGTATGGTTTTACTCATATTTCCCCGTCTACGTGGTTCATTATTTGGAGCTGGGCAACACACACACACACACACACACCTGTCACTGTCTAGACGGGGAGGGGGGCATTAGGAGGGTGTCCCACATGAGCCGACACTGCTTTTTTTTCCCCCCTATTTTTTTTCTATTCTTACACCGTATATCTAAGATTCCTGAAAATGACAACACAAAACCAAAAGAGAGGGGGGGAAAAACACACGACTCTACCAAATCTGATTGGCCGCTTGTGAACCGACACCATTTTTTCTCCCCCCTGCTCGTAAACCCGAGGTCAGCTCGGGACGTTAAAAAATAAATAAATGAGAAAATAGAAATGCGTAGAAAGTAGAAGACACGGGCAGTCAATCTAGCATGTTGTGCGCCGGGGAAGGATTGACGGGGCCCGCCGTCCAATCAGCGACCTCGGAGGGTGTGACTTCCTAGACAGACATCGGACGTGTCCAATGAGAAGTTCAGACCAATGACGGACGTGGAGGTGACAGTACCCCTCCTGTTCCCTTTTGATCCAGATTTTGGAGTTCATTCATATTTGTCAAGCAGGCACTGAACCGCGTCAATAAATACAAAAGCTGCGAAAAATGGGATAGGTGTGTGGTGATTAAACATCCTTTGCATACTAGTTTCAATTTATACCAACATTAAAATAAATGCAGTCGCTGCGTGTAGGTGAAAGGAGCTTGATTTAGTGAAGTACTATCACTACAACTCCCCACAACCTCCCACAGAGAGCCATAATGATCCCATCGTGATTCCCCTCCGCCCTGCGATTGGAGCGCTGTAATGTTGACGGATTTCTGCTCCAACCCAAGACAGTGCGCTGCGCTTCCAATGGCAGCTTCAAGAGAAAAGGCGTGCCTGCTCATAGAAGTAGGACTCTAGACGCCGCATCAGTCCGTGTCGTACGTCAGTATCGCCGCCATCTTGTGAGTGGAAAACCACCGAGCAAGAAAGCTCTCCTTCAAAGGTCTCACTGTAGGTCAAACCTTACTGTTTGATGTCTTGATTATTAAGCTTAAAACTTCGATTGATTAAAATTAGAATTCAAAACAATTTAGTTTTTATTCTCACCATTAATGATAGAACCATGCTAAAGATAGAAAGTGAAAAAGGTTTAATTATTTGTTTTGTTTACATAATCATTCATTAACTGATGCTTTATCTGTCACATCAAGTACACAAATATATGTTTTTATTTGTAATTTACAAAATGATCATTACCACCCCAAAATGGCCAACATAGAGAAAAAGAAGAATGGTTATGATATAAAAGAAGCCCTTCACGTGGGAATAGTTTGTTTGGGGTATAAAATTGGGTCAAAATGGCAGTGAATGGGTATAAAATGGGGTACAAAATAATAAATGAAATGGTTCAGGTACACTAACTTTAAGGATAATTTATAATAGCCTACCCCATGCTGAATAAAATTAAGAGCGTTCATGTATTTTCAGAGGCAAATTAAAAGTAAGCTAATTTTATCCAGAATGTCATTTGGAAATGTTCATGCAACACAATTTAAAAGTTTGTCTTTAATGTATAATCTGTAAGATGAAAATAAGCTTCAGCGTTTCATTCATTCGGAAAGCAGTTTGAGGCTTCTTGCCACTCGCAATATGGCGGACGCGCTGACGTACCTTCTCCACTGGGCACCGGAGCCAGCGGGGCGTCTACTCCTCTACGTCTATGTGCCTCCCCGTACACCGCCCCCTCCACCACCACCACCCCTCAAAGTACTCGATGTATAGTTAAAAAATGGGAGGGCACACTTGAACCGAGCTCTTCTATGAAGGTAGGCTGCAGCGTGTGTTTATTGATGAGATGAAAAGAAGATGGAAGTGAGAAATGAAACAAAGTAAAGGAACATACTGAGAAAGAAGAAAAGCAAAGTAAACACGCTCCGTCGGGGGGAAAAACAGGGAAACACTGTCGCCACTTTTTTTTGAACGAGCTTCGAAGTGCAGGTAAGAAATTTGAGAAAAAAGTAGAAAAGGGGGGTTGGTCTTTCGGCTCCTGAGGCTCGTAGATTGTATATTTAGTGGAAAGGCATGTTACAGAATTAAACCCTTATCGGTGAGTTTTAGGCAGCACACGCCTGAAATGCAAGACACTTCCATGTAGTTAGAGCTGGCTTTACTAACCCAGTAAATTAGGCTGTACACAATATAAACTTAATTTTTTTTACGGACCTCTAATAAAACCACTGTAAATAAAACGCCATTAATAGGAGTCGCCTGTAAATGGAGTTTTCTGTTCGCGCTACCAAAACGCGTTCTCTTCGCGTGACGCAAGTTTCCCATCTGTCATTTTCGCTCGAGCCTCCTTCCTTTTACTTTTAAACTGTCATGTGGGGACACTTGCAAAGAGTCCCGCTCCGGTCAAAGTGTGTCCACAGGTCGGCTTTCCTCTCCCCCAGCGATGCAGGCTCACATTTTACACTCTGAGCCCCGGAACAACTGGAGGCAGGCAGCCCGACGTGCGCATTTTGGCTTTTAGGTCAGTTATTTGAGGTAGCTTGCTTTTTATTACTCCACTTTGCTTCAAATATATATTGCAACATTTGGTTGAACTCATTTGTATGGCTAGGTTTATTTAGCGTGAAGTCCGTCACTTAGATGTGTGCGGGTTGCATTTTTATTTATTAATTATTTCCCTCAAAGTGATGCATTCAGGCGACTGGTTAGAATTTGGATAGAAGGAGGGCTATTATTGGGCTCATGGTGCAGCAGTAGTGAATTTGGGTGCCATGTTTATAGCTATGTAAAAAAAAAGAATGGCTACTTATGCCTGCCAGTGCTGCCCTTTTTCTCAGAAAAAAAATATTTTTTTGAACTCGCAGCTTTCAGTTCGGGTGTGCAGCGACGCTCCTGTGTAATTAAAGTTGCAGGAGTACCTTTTGATACATTTCATGAGCGAAATATTCATGCGTACAACTCGTGATTCCTTTGCCCTACATCTGCAGCTCATCATGGCGCTCCTAAATAAAGTTGAAAAATATATTTCAACGTTTGCACGCAGAGAAAAATAAAATAAAAAATATAATAATTTAAAAACTGGGCTCCGCGTTAAAAATGCACCGAGAGGGTCACGGGGAGTTTATTCCGAGCAACATGTCAGTCTTGTGCTCATCTTTATTGTTGCTCGAGCGTGCGTGCACGTGTGAGGCGAGCAGATGTTGTCCCAAAGCGCTCGGCTTTGTCAGATAAAGAGGGAATACAGCATGTTCTCACTACAATAGGCTGCATGCACATCATTTCAATGTGTCCTGAAGTGCAGCTGAGCAGAAGTTGAACGCAAGTTTAAAAAATCGTTCATTTTTTTTAAAGGCATTCCTTGCATACATTGGTCAGGTATCCGTCTTATTTTATTATTTATTTATTTGTTTGTTTTGCTTTAAATGCGCGCAGATGTGCGCCTGTGTATAGACGTGTGTAGGTTTCCACAACGCGATTGTGCGTTTTTTTTTTTTTCCTCGCAATTTTGTTGTGATCACTCCCTCTCTCCGCCTTCATTCACAATGTGGCTTCACAACGTAAACGGGTTGCAGTCCTATAGGATTTGCTCGTTGCAGTCGCAGACTTCTCTCTGGATCATTTATTTTCTGAATGGACGCGCTGAGCGTGCTGCACACGGAGCTGAAATGAAGACAGTTGTAAATCTGTCCCGTGACTTAAAGCCTATAGATTTGACTGCATGAGTGCACGCATGTGGGTTAGTTGAGAGAGATACCACCTATCTACAATGAAATCCCACCTGTGCCATTGTTTAGTGTATAATTTGATGACTAAACAAATGATCTGTAAGGAAGCTCTCGCCATCATGACTTGATGTCAGACTCTCAACAAAGAGGTGTACAGTAGCTGCTGGAACAGAGTCAGCCATTACGGGCTTTGGGAGTGTTTGTATTGTGAGTATCAGGTGCCTCGTTTTATCCCAATTTATTTAATGTGTACTTACATTAGAAATGCACCAATCGGGCTCTTTCTGGCCAATTACATTTTTATTATTATTCTTTTAGGTCTAACTCAAGTGAAAAAAAAATCAAGACTGTAATACATTGAAGACAAAAACATCATCTATCTTCCATAGATGTTGTTTGTGTCCAGCAAAAAAAAATAATTGCACAATTTTATAAATTCTCATCAAAAGCAAACTGAGGTTTCTGGTAGAAATAAAAAAGAGCATAAAATTATGTGCTGTTGGTTTGTAGCTACTCTGGCAAAAATCAGGGTTCTTACTTTTGTAGATTAGCCCCATTTCTGCATCAAAGCATACAGCGGTGGATCTGGCACTAATTGCATGCATCTCTCTTTTTGATTTATTTCACTAGTTTTTAGGAACTATATTTCCTAAGGATCTAAAATTTGCATGAAATGGCAAGAAATACTTATTTTCGGACCTTTGATAATCACAGATAAAATCTGTATGCTAATCAAGTTGGAATAAGTAAAACCAGTGTGGACCAAGATCTACATATATATATATATATGAAAGTCAAGCAAAAAAAAAAAAAAAAAAAATTAATGTATACATATATAAATCTTTTTTTTTTTTTTTTTTGCTTGACTTTCTTTTCCTTTTACAAAAGAATGCAAGTTTTGATAAACTTCAGTATTTTGAAGAATGCCTGGTCACTGTAGAATAACTCAGTTCTGGGCTCAACCAGCTTAGCTATTTTAGTTTTAACTAGAACATTTTCTTTTTAGACCTTTAAGTAGACCTTTAGTTTTTGATAAACTCTATCAACCACCTGTGATGCACATCTAGAATTTCTGACAGTGTTTTTCCCATGTACAACATAAGGCTCACCAGTCCTATCTAATTGGACATCTAATTGAAAGTTTCCCTTTTTTAAAAAAAAAAGATAAATAAAAAATTGATTTACTTGGGTTGCCCCAAGCTAGGATTGCACCCTGTGCGGGGAGCCGTATCGCCTCATCTTTATCTAATTTATTTTATTTTAGTCAAAACCCACATCAGTTTTAGGTTTGAGCCTAACATGGTCAGAAAAATGTCGTCAAATTGCGATCTGTGGCTGACTGACTGGTGCTCCATTAGTTTGTATCCTTATATTCTAGCTTGTAATTTAAATTCACCTTGTTTGAGCTGTTGCCTTTTGGCCTCTTTCAAGTGTCACAGTGTAAAAGACCCACCCCTGACTAATGAATATTTAAGAGTGTGTCTTCAGATGAAGGAAAGCCATTATTATATGAAGCAGACCCATGCAGAGGAAACCGTACACCTACAAACAGGAGGAGGGAGGGGATGTGGTGATCAGTTAATCCACACCCAGCAATCAATCCCACTTTTCTGTTTTGGCTTCAGACAGTCTTCTTCTTCTTCTTTTTTTTTTCACTCGTCACCCTCGTTTCTCATTTTACAATTCATGGTTGACCAAGAAACTGTCACAAAGTGTTAACAGACCTTTTTAGTTTGGAAATGCTTTTTGACTGATATTTTTCACACGTTTCTCCCACCTGATCATTTGGATTTTACTCAATTGAAAAAAGAGGAGGAAAAAAAAAACGTGTGAGTATATATATAATAAAGTGCTTTTTGAAAGAGAGGACAGAAAACAATCATCTTGTACTGTACTTGCTCGCAGATGGCAGATCAGCGTTCCAAACAATTTTTTAAGTGCTGTTGAAGAGGCACTGTTGCCCAAACAGACAAGATAGAGACGTCACTCGGAAGCCTCAGCAATTCTGTGTCTCTGGCTCTGGGTTTACTCACAAATTTCAACCACTCTGCTCAGACTTTTACCTGGTGATACTGGTGGCCTAGATCTTGCATCACTAAATTTATGAGTTTATTTGTTCTTTCTAAAGCTCATTTTGCTCTTCGGTTATTACAGCACATGGTGAAAACTCTTGGTGATGACATTCACGCACAAAAAAATGAAATAAACTTTTGTAAGTTTGCATTTTGCTTCAAATTGAACCGTGCTCTGATAATACTTTAATAAAAATGTTAAGTGCCTGTCTTGTTTAACCTTTTCAGATAAATCCAAGCTAATTCTCGGATTCCCAAATTTTCCACTAAGGTAATTTTTACCACTGTGTGAAAAAAAAGACTTGCACTTAAATCCATTGTTGCACTTTGTCTCACACAGTTGAACATATTTGGCAGCCATTTTGGGAATGCAGTCGAGATCCATCGATATAACGAGCCACTTTGTGGATGCCATCCAGAATGTCACAGTGCTTGTAATCAACTGGTCCTTTTGTTTTCTGGCAGACTTTATTCTTCTCTATTTCTTTCTTTTTTTTTTTTTTAATGGGTGGACTGAACAATGTTCTTCTCCGGAGCAGTGTCTTTTGTTGAGACTGCCCACTGAGGCTGTTTTCAGGTGCAATACCGTAAAGTTAAGAAGTCTTAAATTCACGTACTTAAATTAACCGCAGAGTAGCCTTAAGCCTTTAATAGACTTTACAGATTTGTTTTTGTGGAAGAAAATCACAGGAAGTTTCTCATCTGTTTTTTCTTGTAAAGACTCAGGAGACACAGAAGTTACAAGTAGCGTTCTAAAAAGACACATCGATTAAAAGCTTTCAGTCTCAGCTTTGAAAAATGTACAAACGTGAAATAATCTTTTGCTTGCCTTCTAATTAGACATTCTCTGTTCTAGCGTTTACTTGGTAGCACTGATTTCTGGTTTTCTTTAAGGATCTGATTTATTGATTTCAGTTTTATCAAATTATCTATTTTTCCATGACAACAATATAACACATCACAGTTAGGCTGATGTGCATTTATATTAGACATGCACCAATCCAGTGGCATTACCAATTTCAGGGTTTCTTTTCTGACTTAGATTTTTTTTTTTTTCTTGTGTAGGACTATTACACATAAAAGAAGAAAAATGAGCTGCTGGTTCTTTGATAGAGCAAGTATTTTTGGACATGACAGAAAATGAAGGAGTTACAACATTATTCCCATTCGTTCATCAAAGCATATGTCCTGA